AGCGACTGGGATAGCGAGTGCTGAGTAAAGAGTGGATTCTCGTGACGAGAAAAGGAAAACGAGGGGAAAGTCGTTCAAGGGAGCGTCAGGGCCGCGTTTTAGAGACAGCGTGGTGAAGAGCATTTGGGATGCTGCCCTGCACGCAGATTTAAGGAGTCGTCTAGTGCACAAATGCTCCCTGCCGCTCGCCATTGGTCGGCGGACCTTAAACTACAAACGGCGCTTGTCGATCCCCGAGAATAGCGACTCTCCTGAGCGCTTTGTGCATTCAATGGCTTGCTGGCTGAGGATCGGTTCATTGAATATTGCACTCGCCTCACTCGCTGTCCGTTGCCGTCGTTTGGTCTCGAGCAGGCCGCAAACGACTCCCCCAGCCGCTTGTGCGACCTCGCGCTATCGTGTCTCACCTGCATACCGAGGGTGGCTTTGCGCCAGGCCGGGAGCCAAGGAGATTGTGAAACACCAGGCACGCTGCACTGCGACCCTTGAAGCGACCGTCTGCTCTCTGCGCCACTCGCGCTGCCATGCGATATGCCGCTGCGATAGCGATACGATGTGGAGCACGAATCCTAAACGCTTAATGGATCCGCATCGTCATGGCCCACCATTGCCGGCCTGCGCGCCACTCTGTACGAGCCGAATTGCCGTGCTGCGTCCTGAGGGAAAAGGCCGTTTGACCGTGCCAAAAAGAGTCCTTCACCCGTCTGTGCTTCTTCTCACACAGTTGTACCCCGCCGAGCCACCTCGTCCAGAGACCTCCTCTCGGCGTCATTACGCTCTCCGTGGTTTCCATCTATCGTATCCGGGATTTCTCTGCCATCGACTGCCGGCACGAAGAACTTGCCCCATGCAAATGCAGGACCGTCCATGGTAAACTTGCCCTGCATGCGCCAGCGGCCTATGTACACATTGAGTGCGACCAGGACTTTGGCGAGACACGTCCAGTCGAAACCAAAGTACAGCCCTGCTCTTCCATCAGAGACGACGTACTTGTGCCAGATACCCCAGAGAACGATGTATTCGGCCTGATCTCCTATATCGCCATCGTCGACTGTCATCCGATGCCATTGCAACAGAGCTCGCATGACCTCGTTGCACGACTCCATGACCTGGCGCGGCGAGCGCGAGTGTATCACGGCCAACGTTTCGTATCGACAGCCGGTCTGCAGGAGCTGTATACACAGGAGCGCCTTCTCCATGCGACTCATCGAGCCCGAACTCGCAATGAAGCCTGCATTGCTCAGCCACTCTTTGATCGCACGCAGCTCGTGAAGCTTCATGTAGTGCAGATAAGGCAAGACGAAGCGAGCGTCCTCGATCCCTTGCATCGTCATCTCGGTGATCATGAAGCCGTTACAGCTACCTCGGCGCTCTTTGTACGGGTCGCGCAAAACAGGATCCATGTTGGCCTCCTCTTCTTGCACGCGCAGTTTGACTTCGTCTCTCGGTTGCGGGAACTTAAGGGGGTGCGTTGTAGGTAGACGTAGGCTCTCCGAGCATTGCGACGGCGCTCCGTGGATGATCAGACGCGGTAGTTGTCTCAGCGCCTCAAATGCGTTGGCGCGTCCTGCTCTCTGGACTGCAACTGGCGGTTGTATATCTCCAACTGGTAGGCCACCGGACATGAGGTATGTATCTTCGTAGTGGTCGCCTTCAACAGACCGTCCACGCACGTCAACAGCGTCATCAAACGCCAACTTCTCTTCCTCCGATTCCCCGCGAACATACGCTTCAACCTTACCATTATCCGTCGACGTATTCCTCCTCCCTCCATTCTGCGGCCCCGAAATCCTGCGCAGCTTGACGCCGGTATCATCTCCGCTCTTCGGCCCTCTCAACCTCTCTTCGAGCTTGACCACGTTCTTATACGACCGCCAAGCATGTCTCTTCGCATCTTTGACCAGTGCCTCAATCTCATCTCCAATTTCGCAGTATAAATTCGCATCGAGCTTCTCTAGGTCGCGGTGCGCACTCTTTAGTTCGCGCTTGATTTCTGTAACGCGGGTAACGTTCGATCGCTCGTGTTCGGTGAGGCCTTGCAGCCATTGGATGTAGCTGCTAACACCGCGTACGTAGTCTTTTATGTCGTCTAGTCTGTCTGGGATCGTGCCGACGGATGGGTGCGGTGCGTGACGGCTTTTCGGCGCCGTTGTGCGTTCCTTCGATTGGGGTTCCTCTGCAGTGGGCCCGGAGGTCGTTCCTGCATTTGCAGCCGCATTCGTACCTGCATCTGCGATTATCGACCGGCGCGGACTGAACGGGTTGTACAATCGGCCCATTGCACTTTCTAATGGCTACGCATGTCGTGGCATGATTATGTTGTAGACCCCAGGTGGCCGCCGCCAAAACGCTCTGCGCTTCGTGTACCCTTAGAGATCCACCTTTCGTCATTTGTATGGAAGGACATCTGGTAGGCTCCACATACTGCCAAAGTTGCGCAGCCAGCGTAGAAAGATGAACATCGGATACTGACGCAGTGCGCTGACTGCTTTGATTGGAATTAGAACTAAGACCTAAGATACCAAGCCAGACATCTACTTCATCCCAACAACATCTCCCAACTCAATCCGTGGCTTAACAATCGGCTCCACTTTCCCCCTCACGCGCGTCCTTTGCTCCATCGCATACGCCAGTCCAACAATCTTCGCATCACTCCACCTATCCCCCAAGAAACTGAACCCAAACGGAATACCCGGCGCCGCTTGCACCAGCCCATCAGGATCAACCACAACCGGCTGCTCATCCCCCATAGCCCCCATCGGTATACTCACAACCGGCGCCCCAGCAATAGCAGCAAAGTACCACGCAAACTTCGACGGTAAAACAACAGCATCAAGGCCGTGCCGTTTAATCGTTCCGAGCAAGCCTCCTTCGCTATCATAGTACAGGCCTTTTTGGTACGCCTGCCAAAACTCAGGAGTCGTGTTGTTCCAGTTCTCCAGCGCGAAATCCCAGACGCCTGTTGATTTGCCTGGGTAGCCTTCTAGTGGGCTTTGGCGTGTCCAAACGCGTAGTTGGGCTAGGGTGGAGATGTTGTGTGGGTTGTAGATGAGGCGTTTGAGGTAGGATTCGATGTTTACGACAAAATCTGCGGACATGATTTGTAGGCCTAGGAGGCTGTCGTTTAGGAAATCTTGGGCAGCTGGGAAGTCGGTGTCGATGACAGTTGCACCGGATGAGCGGAGGATGTCTAGTGTGTTATTGAAGGCTGCGATCATGGAGTCTGTTGTATTGTCGGACATGAGCTTGATCACGTTGCGAGGGACGCCCAGTCGTGCGCCTTTAAGCGCGGTGAGTTTGCAGGCGCCGACGAAGTCTTTGTCAGCGTCGGATGGAATGGCAGAGGTGTAGTTGTCGTATACGTCGGTGCCTACGATGCTTTGGAGAACGTAGGCGGAGTCTTTGACGGTTCTTGTTAGGGGGCCGATGGTGTCCATGCGCTCGCTGATTGGTATCACGAGGTGCCGAGATGTAAATCCGACGGCTGTTTTGAGTCAGCTGGTGATCAGATGCTACGATCAGTTACGCGTACTTGGCTTCATTCCTACGACGTTGTTGACACTAGCGGGGTCAATGATTGAACCATAAGTCTCGCCGCCCAGGGTGACGGTAGCCAAACCCAATCTTCAATCGTTAGCTGGTATCTGTCGATCGGAAGCTCTACTCACGAAGCCGCGACCGCACTTCCACTGGAGCTGCCGGAGGGATCTTGATGAGGATAGAACGCTCCGTATGTCTGTCCGCCATATGCTGACCAGCCGTTGCTTGAGTTCCATGGTATCCGAAAGCTGCCCCATTCGCTAGGATTAGTCTTGCCCAGGATGATGACACCTGCCTCTCTGAGCTTCTTCGCGATAGTCGAATCAGATGGAACCTTGGCTCCGACGAGCGCGTAGGATCCAGCGGTGTTGTTCATCTTGTCTTTTGTGGCAATCTGGGATTGTTGTTGACGTTAGTGTAGCAATCTAGTGATATCACAGAAGTCATTGATACTCTGGAGAACTAACAGTGTCTTTGATGAGTATAGCGATGCCATGTATCGGTCTGAAAGTCAGCGGAAATTGAGAGTATCTCAAACTCTGTACTCACCCTCGCACCATGCCCTTCGAGCGCTCCTCATCAAGTGCAGTTGCGATATCCAGCGCATCAGGATTGATCTCGATGACTGGGCGCAATATATCGTTCACTTCATTGATACGAGCGATATAAGTCTGTTTGGCAGCGTTAATCGACGAATTAGGGGATGGTGTTCAATGTCAGCAACTTGCCTTGACAAGATCTACACTAGTAAAATGATTTCGCTCCAAGCCCTTCGTCACCGCCTCGATATCGGCTTCGTACAAGCTCGGGAACTCACCTCTTCCGGCACGTTGATTGAAGTACCAACCCAAGCCTGCGCTGCCGATGATTAATACGCTTAGGAGAATTCCAGACACCATCTTTTTGGAACAACAACGCCAGCGTACTTTATCTTCGCTCAAGCTTTCTGTTGTTATATGGTGATATGTCGCACGTGTAGGGACGAAATAATCGAATGACCATTCAAGCGGATGTAGTAGCCATGACTTGGTTGGCGTGTCTCCGGTAGGCATCGAACAAAGTGTATCGGTGGCAGGCTTCATAGTAGCGATCGTGACAATAGGTTACATACCACCAAGTCTGACAAAGCTGTGCTTGGTTGTCCTAGAACTTGGTGCTCAGCTGTGGTAGGAGCGGGTGGCTAGCGCGGAGTTCGGCCCCGCACCTGCACGATGATGATGATGGCAGCAAACAAATACATCGCAGCTTCCTTTCTACAACCCAGTCAATACTCTCCGTCGTCGCCGCATCGCTTTGGATCGCTGTAGAGCGTGTCTGCATGTCTCGCGCTGGCATGGTCGGCATGGCTGGTATTGATCAATTATTGTTTACATCATGTTATTGCGCTTCTTCCCTACGACGTTTCAACCAGACTAGAATAACAAAGCAAACAGATCTCGTCTCCGGTCTGACCCATACCCCTATCTGTCCTCACCTCCACCTCCGCATTGTATATACATGTCCTCATCTTCATCCTCTTCCTCTTTACCTCCGCTGTACACCAACTGCCAGCCTTCGACTTCCTCCCGGCTCGGCCAATGTTTGAAGTATTTCCAAGCCGCTGTGAGCGATTCAAACCTACCCATGCTAAGCGGATAGCCGAGGAGTTCCGGAGCGGCGCGCTCTATTGCAATTGCTATCCGCTGCCACGCTCGTCCATACCCTTGTGCTTGATCAACGTTTTCCTCGAAGGAGTCCAAGACTTCTACGCAACGGCAGGCATAGAAATCTAGATACGCGTGTATAAGCTCGTGGAGGATAGTGGACAGGCGGTCTAAGGCTATTTCATTCAGACTCCCACAGCTTTCACCCTTGACATAGTTGAAAGCACACATACAGATCAAAGGTCCTCCCTTGTCAAGCTCACGGTAGGCGCCAACCTCTTGTGGCATCTGCCTCCAATCTTGCCATGCGAAGTCCAGCTCCATCTTAGCGTCTGTTGACGTGGTTGGGAAAAAGATGTAGGTGAAGATGTTGATCAGCCTCTTCATCTCAGCTTTGCTGACATCTATGCCGTTTTTGCCCCCTAACCTCTGTAACAACGACTTCGCCGACTTGTCGTTACACAAGTCCTTCCAAGCATCGCGTATCTCCTTTTGTCCGCGGCTCAATCCATGTTTACGTAATTCCATCTTACGCTCAATTTCATCGGCAAGTCGAAGAGCATGGTGCCCCTGCCGGACTAAGGATGCTCGCTCTCTGTACCCTGGTGCACCGGGAATGCCTGTGGCAGCAATTTCTCTCTCGCAAGTTTTGGAAGTGCATACTTGCTTGCTCCTTTGACTCGCCAAACGCTGCGACTTCCTCCTTTGATCGAGCTCGATGACCATTTCGAGAAACTCCTCGGGGGTGTCTGGCGGAGTCTTTCGGTCCAGTGAAGTGGTAGAGGGCATGTTGACACTGGTATGTGTAGAAATCACGTCGGTATCTTGTGTTCGTATGGTGAAGACCGGATGGTATGTTGCTTCCTGGTTTCTATTATCTTTTCGACAGACTTGCATGGCTGATATATAGTGCTGACGACAGAAGTCTCACACTGGGTAAGACGCTTTGAGAAGTTCCTCACAGCCTCTGTCTTAGCCTGAGACATCTTCCGCACGCTTCCCATTCTCGTAAGTGTTCGAGAAGAAAACATGCTGGTGTTCATCCGCATTGGGTTGATGCGACTTGCGGAAGAAGCTTCTTGTTCCTATGAAGCTCCGACGATTTCCGGTACGCATATTCAAAAGCCTCTTCATGATCGTGAGTTAGTTTGGAGTTATATTGTGCAGTGTTTTCGAGGACATATGAGTCAGAGGAGTACATTTCAAGACACATTTGGTAACCCTTCTACCCAGTAACAACATCTCTAATAAGACCCACAGCAGCTCTGACCAATGATGTCGCATGCTATGCCCGATCACCACACCAGTTCCCACCCTTCAACTTCATCCTCCGTAGGCCAGAACAGCATATCGTCCCAGTTGTTGACAACAGCCTCAAAGCGACACAAATCAATCGGAAGACCAAGTGTATCATTAGCGAATCGCTCCACAGACCTTGCAATTCTCTGCCAAACTCTTCCATGTCCTCCTAACTGCACAAGATCTTCTCGGTAAGATGAACAACACGGGCAGGCATAGTAGCCGACATAGGCATGCACAAGCTCATGAAGCAATGTACTCAGACGAGACATGGCCCTGCCAGTCAAGTGACGAAAGGCTCGAAACGGTCTGACTTCAGATGCGGATAGTCTCACTACCGCATATGGTTGATCTGGACCCGCGCAAGTGCAGTCACCCATGCTACCCGGATCAGATGGCTGGTTTGACCAGTCAAACCGCACTTCCATTCTATCCCATGGCGTGGTTTGGAAGAAGATGGTTGTCAAGAGGATGATTAGCCTTTCCATCTCCCATCCATTTACGCTACGGGCGTCTGGGTGACCGAGTCGCTGCAGCACTGCATGTTTGGAATGGTCTTCGATCATGGCGTTGAAAGCGTCGATGGCTTTGAGTTGGGCATCTGTGAGATGCTCGCGGTTCGAATTTGACCCATGCGTCATCAGCTCGCTGAGTTGGGAAGCCTGGTGACGCCAGAAGAGCAATGGCGTCCGCTCGTCGACCTGGTTGCCGAGCCTGTTGTGGACGGATGTGGTTTTGATGGCAGTGTTGCCGCAGTTCTTGCATGCTCTAGGCGCCGTTTCATCTTATGACAGCTTGGCCGGATTGGCTTTGTGGTACTCCTTGATCATGTAGAGAAACTCATGTGGCGTTCTGAGAGGCTCGTATCGACTTGATGATCGAGCACTTTCGTAAGGACGAGAACGCGACGTGAGCTTATCAGTCCTTATGGGTGGCATTATTTGGTTTCTGATAATGGATAGAGAGTATATAAACACATGTTCTCCATTGCAATACACGGTACTTATCGATGTGGATAATCATCAGATGTCTCGATGTGAGCGAGACATGGAAGGCGGATAAATCCGCACAGATACCAACGATCAGAGACATGCGAAAAGGCCACATGACATTGGGGCTTTCTCTTATACAACGATCAACGTTTGATTTACTAACTACAATACGTCAAGAGGTTCAATCTCCCTGACACCCTAAGTTACCATCCGTTCCAAATCCCACTCTTTGACTTCTTGCTGAGTTGGCCAATATAGCGGTACACCCCAATTAGCTTGTATAGAGGTGAATCTTCCCAGAATTAGTGGTAGGTGAATGAAGCGAGGAGCATTGTGTTCCACCGAGCTCGCAAGCCGCTGCCACGCTAATCCGTGTCCCTTGAGTGATTCAACATCTTTCACAAACGATGGGCACCTACAAGCGTAGATACCCAGATATGCGTGTACCAGCTCGTGAAGAAGGGTGCTTAGGCGTGACATGGTTCGGGCAGATAGGTTTCCGTGGGGCGAAGCATCCATGTAGTTGAAAGCCGACATTTCAATTTTGGGGTGCACATCGCATGTGTAACGGCCAAAATAATCGTCGTTGCAGGTTTTCCATTCGAAGTCAAGCTCCATCTGATAGTCGCGGAAGAAGATTGCTGACAAGAGCTTTATTAGATACTTCATCTGGTCCCTGGAGACGTTTCTTGCATCAGACCACCCCAGTCTTCGCAGTAGAGAGCCCGTTGCTTTGTCCTCCACCAGTTCTTTAAAGGATGCGATCGCATCTAGCTGCTCGTCATTGGCAAACTCAGGTCCCTCTAACATAATAGCTTTAATTTCGTCGGAAAGTCGGATAGCATGATGGCTGGTGCTTCGCAGTGGGTCGCGCTTACGTGTTTGATTTCCCAGCTTGTTGGTGTGCTTCACAGCGCGGATGGCTTTGTCACAAGGATTGCGGCATTTCTCATTGTTTATCCAGGTCCCGAACCGCTGGTGACGGGTTTTGTTGTGACGATCGATGATCATGTCGATGTATTCCTGTGGCGTCTTCGGATAATCAACGTCGAGAGAAGTCATAGACAGGTTGTATGCATCGCAAAGTCGTCTACACATGATGGATTGGTTGTGTTTCTTTTCCAGAGAATAGCTGGGTGGATTGTTATTCATTGAGCTACTTGCTTGTGATGACACCGCGTGGTAGCTATATACCTAGGTACGTACTAGACCGTAAAGTCTCACAGTATTTGAGACGCCCCAAAGCTCGACAACAGCACGTTGCACCAGATCGAGACATGAGATTTCTACAGCGATGTGAATCAGTCGTGGGCAGATGATTCGAAACTCTGAGACTTCCTCTCGCGAGTTTTACAACTGGAAAGGTCTAGAGCCGGGTAACACAGAAATCGTGAACAATAAGCCATAATCACAAAGAAATAGGCAAACTGGTCTCGAAATATGAAGTGGAATCTCTCTGCGCCTTGTTCAGCCTCTACCCATCACCGAATACTCTACTATGGCTTCAAATGGACACAGCATCACCCATCCACCCATAGCACCTCTAACAGGACCCAAAGCAACCTTCTACGACCGCATCCTAACCCGAACCTTCGTCAAAGATTGCTTCTGCGAGGATTGCGCGAGAGACCATTACCTAAACTACCCCTACTCTTGCTACCTAAATCATCCCCCAAACGAGATCCCCATCCTACCCGGCCAGCGACCCACTATCATCTACAACTCCCGAATGAGATCGGGACGATACGAAGCCCTCCAACTAGCCCGCAGCTCCATCCAATACTTCAGCAGACCACGAAAGGAACTGGATATCGGGCAAATCCGATCTGCATCGGAGATACAGAAATGGCTCTACCATCAAGATCTAATCGCGAGACTTGGGTCGCATGATACACGTGGCACTCTGACCGTCGATGATATGAAAGCACTGATTAAGCATTTGCTATGTGTATTCTTCTTTGGCGCCATAATCCCGTTTGACTTCGCCTGGCACAGCCATTACCTGGAAACCAATGTCAACTCGATCGGCGTCACCGTGACGGAAAATCGTAACGGCGAGGATGTTCAATGTATTGCCATGCATCCTACAAAAGTCATAATGAGCGGGAGTCCCGATCGCGACTTTACCAGAGCTTTGGCGATACAGCGGCTTTCTACGTTAATGCATGAGCTTATACATGCTGTAATTCTAGCACTGTGTTGTAGGGCTTGCCGTGCTGCGAATGACAATTTGGCACACCATGGGAGGGCGTGGCAGAGGTTGGCGCTGGGTGTTGAGGCGCAGTTCGCGAGTTTGTTTGGGTTGAGCCTCGACTTGGGCAGGATGGATGGGGCCTTCCATGATATGAAGAATGCTGGGGCCAAGTTCCACTATCCGAGTAGACATGATTTGGAGGTCTTTGGGTTTGTGGAGCCGCAGAGGGTGGAAACGGATATGCCGGGCGGTGGATGATGTGGACATCCTCGGTAAGGTAATGCAAACATGCTCCAGAACTCAATGGAAGCTGCGGCCTGAACGTAGAAGGATATCATTACAAAAGCCATACCAGCCGTCTAAAACTCCGTTTCGTGAATATAGCGCCGACCCAATGCAATGCAAGTCTACTCATCCATCTCCGTCAACAACACCCCTTCTCCCCACTACCACTGCCACCGCCCATCCCCCAGACCTCCAAATCATGCACACTCGGCAGTCCACCACCCTCACACTCGCTCAACGCACTCTGCCACCTCCCCAAATCAACATTCCCACCCACCACAACCGCGGCAACCTGTTCCACCTTCCTCGCCAAAACCTGCCACGCCCTCCCATGCCCCCTCTCGCCTATACAAGCCGCCCACATGGGACAACTCCGACACGTATACGCTTTCAGAAAAGCATGAATCATCTCATGCAAAAGTGTACCTAGCCTTGACTTCATCCGCGCTTGCTGCGTCTGTGTCGGTGTATCCAACGGCCTGTATCCACGATACAGCATAGGATGAAGGAGAACCTGCGTACCTACTACGGGGTTGTAGAAACTCTTTCCGAAACAATCGCTTTGTCGGGAGTCTAGATAGCTGAATCCGGCGCTTAGCAGGTCGTTGTGCGTAGGTACGTTTCCGGCGAAGAAAACGCGGTTTAGATGCGCGAAGAGCGTTGTTACTTGGCGTGCGGAGAGCGTGGAGCGCAGGTCGTGCGATGTGAGATGCGGGTACCAATATGAGAGTAGACTGCGCAAGTGGAGGACGGAGGGCGTGGGGCGCGCGGACGGGTGCAGGTATGTTGCGTCGAGCCAGGAAATGTGGTGCCGGACCAAGGACATGGATTCGTAGGTCCCGTGGAAGCGGAGGGTTAATGACGGCGCTGGGCTGGTGGGTTTAGGCACCTTTTCGGAGGAGAAAGAGGGGGTTTTGCGGTGTTGGGTTTTGGAGGTGTGTTTGTTGCGACGGTCGCGGAGCGCGCCGTGGGAAGCCAAGGTGGAGATTTTGTAGAGTTTCGGCGCGCATTCGTCGCAC